TATTTTTAGTGTCACTTTAAAGTATATCTACGGTTAAAATGAACAACCATTTATTCATGTCCACATTATATTTCAATTATTTCTAGCCTGCTTCTAAGAATCTGAATGATCTTGACGTTTGTAAACGTACTTTGTGAAGATCCCCACACATTTACTTACTACTTGAATTCTGTGATACGTAGTCACTATGCCCTGTGAGTAGCACTGCTGTGTCAATCATTTCACCGAGCCTGCCTTCTGAACTACAGAGGTGCTGAGGGGAGGAGTTTCAGGAGGCGGAGTCAGTACAGGGATCACTGCTTGCAGGCAATAAGGTACCATGGGATATGTAGTCCTTAGAAGCAAAAAAGTAAATAGCAGAGGAAAAGCATGCAGGGAATCCAGAACATTTGGTAAAGAGACGGCCAGCAGACAGGCAGAACTCCCAACATGAAAGGAAATTTTTCATGTAAGCTTATATTGGATTGTCTGATTTAACGTGGAACTTCACTCTCTCAATCAACAATGACAAATTGTAATGCTGCTAGCTTTAGTATACAGATAGGAAATATATTATATTTACTAGTTTTTAAACAATTTTTTTTTGTTTCATCAGTTACTTCCTAGTTTCTTGCCTAGGTAAATAATGTCATACATCCCAGGGAGCTTTGGGAGAGGAGGAGGGGTTTTCTCAGCTAAGCACACACTCCTGTTTTTATGCCTAAACTAAGGACAGATGGATTCCAAGAAGTCAATGCTACATGAAACATCTGCCCATACTCAAGATGGACAGAAATGCTAGGGGGGTTTCTAAGTGATTTCTCATCAGAATACAGTAGGGAGACATGGGTGAGAGAGTTTGCTTGGAATTTTAAAATTGAGTTAAATAGTGCTTTTGAGGTCTCCGGTCTTACGCTCAACTCATCTAAAACTGTTGCTTTGAATATCTCGTTACCCGATTCAGAGGTTCGCTACTGCCGGGAAAACTTTGCTTTTCAGTGGGGCCCCTGGTTCTCTCCTCTATCTGGGGATTCTTCTTACGAAATCTGTATCGACGCTATACCAGGCCAACTATCTCCCGCTTTTTTAAACGACTTAAGAATGACTTATTAGCCTGGCAGGATCTTTCACTTTCCTGGTTCGGTAGAATTAATTCTATTAAAATGACCTTCCTACCTAGATTATTATACTATTTTAGGACGTTACCAATTCTGATTCCCAAACGAGAACTAGTCTTCCTGCAGGCTGCAGTCTCCAGATTTGTTTGGAGGGGAAAGCGCCCTAGGCTGAACAAATCTACCTTGTTTTCTTTGAAGAGGCATGGTGGTTTGGGACTCCCTAATCTTTTCGCATATTTCCAAGTGGCCCAAATAGCACAACTATCTTGTACTACGGCCAGGGGATATGTCCCCCAATGGGTTGGGATTGAGGCTCTTTCGTGCCGTCCGTATGCTATTGGTACTCTCATGTGGCTTCCCAATGGATTGCGCCCTCCTATTTTGTGTCCTACTCTATCCTATTCATTGTCAGTGTGGGATAGATGGCGAGCTCGTAAACCTTTTTTTCTCTCCGCATACTCCGTTGGCTCCGGTGTTTGGTAATCCTGAGTTTGTTCCGGGTTTATCTTTCGCGAGGTTCCAATGGTGGATTAATAAGGGGTTGCTACGTATTGGTGATTATTTAGATGGGGTTCGCCCTTGGTCTCTTCAGTATTTTGTGAATTTTTGTGGGATGCCTCGTGGAGAGATATTTCGTTACCATCAACTTCGCTCTTTTATTGATAGCAAACTTAGACTACTCACAGAACCTTGTGCGCTTACTTCCCTCGAGGTCTCCTGTGGGGCGAGTGGGGTAATGCGAGGTCGCTTGTCCATTGTTTATGCTTTGTTGGTTGATCCCCTAACTAAATTGTCTTACATGACTTTATGGGAACGGGATTTAAATAGTTCGTTGGATTTGGATACCTGGTGGACGGCGGCCCATGCCCTATCGAAGATTTCGATTAACACTGATCTTGTTGAATCTAATTACAAGACGCTACTTCGGTGGTATTTGGTCCCTGCTCGCCTAGCCATTATGTATCCTTCAGTTTCATCTGGCTGTTTCCGACGCTGTGGTCAAGAGGGTACTATGTTCCACGTCTGGTGGAAATGCCCAGTCGTGAGTAGGTTCTGGATCCGCATATTTAATTTTCTTTACTCAGTGACAGGAATTAATATCCGTAGATCGCCGGAAGTAGCCTTGTTTAATATACTACCCTCTGATGTTCCCAAAAGATCGATTAAATTAATTGTATATATCTTATTGGCGGCTCGCATTACTATAGCTAGGAGTTGGAAGCAATCCTTGATCCCGCTGGATAGGGTGAAACAAAAACTGAATTGGATAATGGTTAATGATAAACTGACGAGTATCGTCTCTGATGATGTGTCCAGATTTGAGAGGACTTGGGATCCTTGGATTGCTTATATTACTGTTTCGTGAGTGTCTGGCAGCTGACCCCCCCCTCCTTTTTCTATTTTTTTTTCCCTTTTTTTCTCTTTTTCTTTCAATTAAGAGTACTTTCCTTTTCATCTCTCCTTTTTTGTTTTTTTTTTTTTGTTTTTCTCTCTTTTCCTACTATTTGTTGAAACATTTTTATTTTTCTTTGTTATTTTTGGTCTATTTTGATATAATTGTTGTTTATTGATCTTTGAAACTTATATGTTTTGATGGCTGTGACTTTATTTATGTGCATTGTAATGCTATTATCTGCTAAATTTCTTTTTTTTTGTTTTTTTACCTACCAGTATTATGCTTATGATTCTGAATCTTGTTCCATTTTGTTGGTGGGCCCTTTCTTTTTTTCTTTTATTGTTTGCCATCTTGTTTTAATATGTTTATTTCTCAATAAAAAATATTGAAATATAAATAGTGCTTTTGCTTTGTAGTGCTCAGATGCAGTGCAGTTCCATTTCAACTGTTGTTTGTGTTGTTATTACAATGCTGATTTTATAAAATGTAAGTTTATGCTGTGACCATAGATCTGAGCAGCATTGCTCAGTAACTGTGCTTAGTGCTCTTCTGACATTGGGACTCTGAAGCTTGCTCAGGCACCATTAGGGCTCATCCATACATGCGATCACAGTCTGCGATTTTAGTCGGTGGAAAAATGTCACCTGTACAAATTCTGTATGTGAACAGCTGCAGCCAGATTTGTGCTCTGTACAAATCAATGGCCGATGCCACTGCTGTTCACTTGTAGCCACTCATCTGAGCAGTTACATGTGATTAGGGGCTCTGCCTAGCTCTTTATGCAGTTTGCGTCCACTGATGGTGGTTCAGGCCAATTACAAACTGATCGTCCAGTTTGTATGCAGCCATGCCACAGAGTACTGTGACATCCAGATGTGGAGCTTAGCTGCATCTGAACACTGCAGTCCAGCTGCCTCTAGCCACTCATCTAAATAGGCCCCTATAGTAAATGAGAGTTGTAAAAAAAGGTGGGAGGAGAACTAGATCACATAACCTATCAAAGTCATGTGACCTTCAATCACGTTCTGTCTACTGCATTAAGTCATTAGTGAGATACCCAAGCTCAATCTTGTTGCCTGTATTTTTATGAATGGGCTACAAAATGTAGATCATGGCAATAAGTAATACCAGAGAATATTATATGGAGTGGATAGTAATATTCACTTTCTATTATAAATTGGCCCCTAAAAGCTGTCATTGCTGACAGCCTAAAAAAAATTATATTTGTCAGGCTGTCATGCTGACCCAAATCATCTAAGGCACTGACTTAGAACAAGCAAAAACAGCAAGATAGAGTCAGAAATCCTAAACAACATATTTGTTTTGGATCAGCATAACACTCAGATACCTATCATTTATAGAGCTTGTAAATGGCAGCCTTCATGATTTTCTAAGGTAAGCACAGTGCAAATTATTTTATCTAGTAGGGATAAACTTCAAACAGCCAAACAGATTGCCTACATTTGGCTAGTTTGCCTACTGAATCCCACCAGGATCATTCAGTCAGTAAGTGACTGGCAGTGCTAGTGCTGCTATATGACAGATCCCTTGAATTACCGCTGCTAAATGACAGATCCCTGTTTGTAAACAAACCAGCCAGGCATCTTGGATGACATCATTGACCAAATAAGGTCATGACCAGATCTGGTCAATGATATCCCCCAAAGATCTCTAGGTTTGTTTGAATACAAACAGCAGCTGTCTTGGGATCTATCATTTTGCGGTGATTGTACAAGCCAACATTGTTGGGCAGTATGTTGCCCTGATATATTCATTCCCTTGGAGGCAGATGGTGGATATCGGAGACCTGTTATTATAAAGTTGGCTTCCAGATTCCAGTAAGACCTTTGGGCTCTGAATGTGGGGATATGGCTTTTTCCCTTCAATATGAGGACATGATGCCTTGCTGGGACAGGGAAAAACTTTGTTGTTCCCCTTGCAAGGTACCCTGTCCTGTGGCTTGGTATGGTTCAAGAATGATGAGGCACAAGCTCTCTTCCCTCTTTTTCCTGGCCACCCAAGCATGGATAAGGGTTTGTATGATATTTAAGGGGAATCTCCTGCTTTATTTTTATTTTTTATGTCACTTTTAAAACTTTGCAACTTTAAGGAATTGTCCAATTGTGTTATTTAACCGCCTCCCGCCCGCCATATAAGGAAATGATGGGAGCAAGGCGGTTCTCTCGTTCTGGGAGGACGTCACATGACATCCTCCCACCCTAACCACACGTGCGTGGATCTGGGGGCGAGCAGCGTGGCGAATCAGTGGTTCCTCGGACACAGCGGATCACCGATCAACAGAAAGAGCCGAAGACGTTGGCTAGGTCATGTGATCAGCTGTGTCCAATGATAGCGATCACATGTAAATAAGGAAATGCCGGTTAATGGCATTTTTCTCCTCACTAGCTGTCACGCTGACAGCTCAAGAGGAGAGGAGAGCCGGTAATCGGCATTACTCAGAGGGGACATGTACACTGATCATCAGGGCACTGATAATCAGTGTGCCCTGATGATCAGTGTAGCCCCAGCAGTGCCACCTGTCAGTGTCCATCAATGCCAGCTGTCAGTGCTCATCCATGCCACCTGCCAGTGCCATCAGTGCCACATCAATGCAGTGCCTACCAGTGCACATCAATGCCATATATCAGTGCCCATTTGAGCTGTCTTTCAGTGCTACCTATCAGTGCCAGTCAATGCCACCTATCAATGCCAGTCAGTGCCACCTATCAGTGCTGCCAATCAGTGCTGCCTATCAGTGCCAGTCAGTGCCACCTATCAGTATCAGTCAGTGCCGCCTATCAGTGCGCATAAGTGCCGCCTATCAGTGCAGCCTAACAGTGCCAGTCAGTGCCGCCTATCAGTGCCAGTTAGTGCCGCCTATCAGTGCCGCCTATCAGTGCCACCTATCAGTGCTGCCTTTCAGTGCCCATCAGTGATGCTTGTCAATGCCCATCAGTGCCACCTACCAGTGCCTCCTCATCAGTGCCCATCAGTGCCACCTATTAGTGCCCATCAGTGCAGCCTATCAGTGCCCATCACTGCAGCCTCATTAGCGCACATCAATGAAGGAGAAAAATCACTTACTTACAAAATTTTATAACAAAAACTAAGAAAAAACGTTTTTTTTTTCAAAATGTTCAGTTGTTTTTGGTTTGTTTAGCAAAAAATAAAAAACCCAGAGCTGATTAAATACCACCAAAAGAAAAATTATAAAAATGTCATATGAGTACAGCGTTGCATGACCGCGCAATTGTCATTCAAAGTGTGAGAGCTCTGAAAGCTGAAAATTGGCCTGGGCAAGAAGGAGGTAGAAGTACCCTGTAGGTAAGTGGTTAAAGGATTTTTTTGCAATGATACATTCTTAAACAAAAACCTGCCAATTAGCTTTGAAAAAGCCCAGAAAAAATTACAAGATTCACATCCCATATACTTTAATAGGGCTTGGTGCTATGTTTGAGGCTCGCAGACTTCCAGACAGGTTTGCCAGAGAATTTATCAAGGGAAATGATCACTGCACATACAGGCAGCCACTAGAAAGAGACTGTACAAATATCTGCATTATATGCTATGATCAAAATTTTGCCACGCGAACAAAAATCACATAATTATTTACTTTCAGGTAAACTTTTCGATAATGTCTTAAAATACTGAAGAAGAAAAAAAAAACAACATACACAGTATAGTTTCCCAAAGACTCATGTTGATGGTCATTGCTTTCATTTGTTTGGAAAATTGGAATAATGCGTGGGAAGAAGATATGCCTTTTATATACTGGTAGTAAAATTTCGTTAACATTTACTTCTAACCCTCAACCTACCCCCCCCCCCCAAAATAAATAAATAAATTTTATATATATATATTTGTCAAACCTGTAGATGTTATAATGCATGCTGTATGACCAGCATATGTCTTGGAGAGAGAAAGAGAGTGAGTGGCTCGGGAGACGCTTCAGCATGTGCGCACATCTTCATCGCTCGAGTGATAATTACATCTCAGAATCGCAGGTGATGTCCTTGCACAGTCGCTCTCTTTGTTTCCCGCTGGGCCAGTGATGCTGGGCCTCATAGGACTCCCTGTTAGCACTGATCAGGTGCTGATGTATCAGGACAGATGATCTTCCACTGACAGATGGTAGGGTGACCTGGAAAACCTGCCCCCTTTTCTGGGATCAGGCAGCAGATGACAGGTATTATTTCATAAAACAAAGTCTAGGAGGAATAGTCGGGGGGCCCTGGCATTAATCTGAAGCTGCAACCAGCCATGGAATGTTTGTGGCAGGACAAATCTGTCTCTGTGAGATAAATGATAAAAATGATTTTTGATGAAGATGTTCATTAATTTTAATAAAATATGCTTGATGGTTTACAATAGAGTCTCAAGTGTTTTTCATTCTATACAATTTGAGAATATTAGAAATGCTCTGTTTCCAAAGAACGCACTTCAAATGATGCATATACTGTAGATTGAACTGTCTTGAGTAGTAACAACCTAGAAGAAAATTACCTGAAGTCAGTGTAACATTTAAGCGGAATTAAACACAAAAACGAAAAAATTATATATTGCAGTTTACCAATTTCTAATGAAGAGTTATAGGTATTTTTTCACTGGAATGTCCCCCATGGGACAAAGGACACTTAGTACTTTGTGCCATGTTGCTAGGTGCTTCCTAAGCCTAACTTTGAGTTTGGACTGGACTCCCCCCCTTCCTCGAAGACACTCAACAACCTAGTTAGAAAGGAAGTGGCCACTTCATATTGGCCACTTGTGTCAGCTTTGCTTCCTAAGCCTAGCTATGAGGATGGACTGGGCTCCTAAACTTTCCCCCAGCCATCCAACAATATAGCTAGGAAGGAGAAAGCTACTTCATATTGACCATTTGTCCTCAGGAATCCAAAGGGATGGGGGGTTCTGACTTGCCTCCTCTTCCATTGCCTTCCTCTTGCTGCCATTTGTCTTGACAAAGTGCTCAGAGCCAAGAAGAACAACAGTTTTGAAAGAGCCCTCTTCTTCCCAGCTATGTTGGAGGGAGTGAAGCACCCAGTTTAGCCTCAAAGGCTGAGGAACAACCTAGGAACATGTGTCAAAGTACAACATGTACTTTGTCCCATGAGGGACAGAACCGTGAAAATAAATAATGATAGTTTTTCTTTAAATAAGAAATTAAATAGGCTTGTTAAAGTGGAACTTCATCCAAAAGGAGATGTTCTGCTCTTTCTCCTACCCCCCCCCCCCCTTCTCTGCCACATTTGCATTTTTTGGGGGGAAGGGGTCAGGTATCTGATTTTAACAGGTAATCGCTCCCACTTTTGCAAAGTTCTCCCCCCCCACACCCGTAGCCTTCTGGGAAATATCACAGCACGGCTCCCACATGCACAGTAGGTAGCCAGCTGTGAATCCACAAGCAGTTACAGCTGGCTGCCCACAGTTCAGATGCTGGTGTCGAGGACTGAAGACTGGTGAAGAACCCAGCTCGGGTGATCATAGAGCTGGGTCCCTGGAAAGGTAAAAGTCCTATTATTGAAAGTAAGCGGCTACAGTTTTTGTAGCTGCTGACTTTTAATTTTCACACACATGGCTGAAGCTCCTCTTTAAATCCCCAGGGGACCCAGTGCACATGGCCCCACTGAAATTGGTGCTAAGGTTTCTAAATAAAATGTCATGTCTATGACTGTCATTGCTGGCTCTAGCTCCACCCTAGGCAGAAGCCCAAATTATAGATATTCCTATGGGAGAGGTACACGCCACAACACCTCTGAATTCTGCAGCCCTCCTTGACATGCAGCTCATTCCTCCTCTGATTTGTTTGTACAGATTAAATACTTAACCCACAGCCTTTCACAGCTCCCTTTCCATTTTACAGCACTGCCTCCACTATTACTGTTAAAAGACTGCGCCTGCATCCTTTCACATCCAACAGCTAGTTCTGAAGAAGAAAACAAATGCAGTCATCACATCTAAGAATTGGTAAGCTGAAATATAATACACTTTACTTCTTTTTACAGCTCCTTAGGGTTTCTGAAAGCTTGGGTAAACTGTCAGGCGAAGTTCATCTTCAGGTAAGAATTGGGAACTTCATCCTGCCCCTCCCACCCTCTACAATGTCCTACCACTATGATAGACAGTCTCTGTAACCAATAGTAAGGTGATCAGGACTTTCTAACGGTCCAACTTTATAGCTGTATTAGAAATTTGCATAATAGAGAGTCCTGGATTTGGGGGCCCTAGGTGACCTGAAAGGAAGTTCCTTATCTACATTCAGAATTTAAAGGGAATGTCGAGTGGTTATGCATGTTTTTGCTTATGAATTATTACTAACTCATATTTTGTCTTTTTAGGTCCAGCCATCAAGTAGTGATGGGCTGAACACCCCTCTGTTCGGTTTGTGGTTGAACATTCAAACCTAACAAAAGTTCGACCTGCGAACTTAAAACAGAGGGGACAATTCACTAAGCGGTATCTTACCTCATCTAAGTATGCAGTAAGATACCGCATAACTATTAAAAACATTTTAATGTTTCAGCTGTCAGCAGGGCTCCCTGCTGACAGCTGAATGTAAAAAAAAATTGCCAGTATTGCCCGGCAATTAAAAAAAAACCGCATGGGGTCCCCGCCACCCATACAAAGCCCTTTGGGTCTGTTATGGATTTTGAGGGGAACGCCCCCACACACCAAATTTATTTTTTAAAAATGGCATGGGGTCTCTCAAAATCTATACCAGACCCTTATCTGAGCATTTAGCCTGGCAGGTCAGGAAAGGGGGGGGGGGCAAAAGTGTGCACCCCATCCCTGAACCATACCAGGCCACATGCCCTCAACATGGGAGGGCGCTTTGAGGGCCCCCCCAAAAGCACCTTGTCCCCATGTTGATGGAGACAAGGGCCTTTTCCCCACAACCATGGCATGTGGTTGTGGGTGTCTGCAGGCGGGGGCAGAGGCGGACTGACAACTCATGGGGCCCCCAGGCAATAGGGGATCATGGGGCCCCTGTGTCCTTGCCCAAACTCAAAAAAAGCCTACGAAAAAGGTACAAGGGGCATCTCATGGGGCCCCCTACTGTTCCCGGGCTCCCAGATCCCTGCCCTTCCCCATGTGACTGAATACTGAGTACATAGTGTCGCTACTCTTTCACAAAAAAAAATAAGTGTAGTGTAAAAAAAATGACAGTAGACAGTGTTTGACAAGCCCTTTATTAAAAACAAAAATAAAAAAAAATGTCCACCCCGAAGTAGACCCAACATCAATCACGATGCCTGCTGCCACCACCGAATCGAAAAAGGAAAAAAAAAGAAACGATTCCCTCTTGCCGCTGGTGCCCGCTGTCTGACAACTGCACCAGGATGACAGTGCTTAAAACTGTGATGACATCACAAAGGGCGGGGACATCATCATGTGCTGTGATTGGCCAAATCATTGTAACTGACCTGTGGTCAGGTGCATTGCTTTGACCAATTACACTGCATTGCCAGGGTGCAGTGCATTGTGGGGCGCAGCGGATGAACACACGAATGGCTGATGTTTGAGTCAAACTTATGTTTAATGTGAACATAATGCCTATCATCAAGTGAACCTCTACACTACTTTTCAAACATTTTCCACACTATCCTTACCTGGCTAAAAGTGGAACCATTTTTTTCTAAATGCAAACACTCTGAATTTGCAAATGTGTGCATGCATACTTACAAAGCTTTGCTTAGTGCCTTTCTCAATAGGATACCCAGCTACTGCGCAGGCTTATGCAGGCAATAGATGGTTCGTTTATCGGCCGATTTTTTGTCCGAAAGAATAATCGGCCGATTTTTTGTCCGAAAAAATAATCAGCCGATTTTTTGTCCGAAAGAATAATTGGCCGATTTTCGCACTGTTAGTGGGGCAATGGCATCGGCCGATTTTCGCGGTTCCTCCTCATTTTGTTTATTGGTCATGCTGGAAAATTCGTGAAAAACGGCCGATTTTTGCAATCATTGGTGGCAACATTGGTTTACAGA